CTTCTTGAGAGTGCTCCAAAACGGTAGCGATTTGTTGATGTTGCTGCTGTTTGCATCGAATTGCTGTGTGTGTGTGTGTGTGTGTTTAGCATTGACAGAGCGTGAGCAACAGCAGCAGAAGGCATTGTGATTGTTATCGAAAAAGATCTTGCTGAACACATCCTCTCTCCACACAATGCTACTCCAGTTTGAGTTCAGTTCAACACAGTAGTGTTGGTGTTGGTGTGTGTGTGTGTCCGGTGGAAGTCACCACCGCCATCACGATCGCAACACACAAGGATGCAAAAATGCATTTCAGGCAAAGTTTTTGAATTGAAAAAGCAGTCCACCTACCTTTGGCGAGTCCTTTCCGTTGCATCCATTTTATCGCCTAAGGCCCTCTTCAGGGTTTCTTTTGACGCTTTTGCCGCTTCTTCATGATTCTCCAGAACCAGTCTTTCTCTCTGTTCGTGACCTAAAAAAGAGAGTGAAACTATTAAAAAGGTTACAAGTTTTGCTGGATTCCTTACCTGAAAAAAAAACATTTTTCATTTTCTTCAAAATGCTCGACAACTAACCAAAACAGCGTGGCCACGATGGTGGCGCCCCCCACCACAATCAACAGCGGCAAAAACTATCAACTAATCGATACTATCAAAATGATAAACTCCAGATTCGGGAGTTCTTTTTGTTGTAAATCACACATTCTCACCTAAAGAATAATTAGTTTTATTGAATTTTAATAATATTGGGTAAACTTCAGCCAGGTAACAAAGGTAACAGTAACGCCCGAATCAGGTGTGTGTGGATAGGCGCTTTTGTGCGGGCGTTTTGCATCAGGTAGGAAGCAATGACAATAAAAATTTTGCAGCCAAATGGAAGAAAGTAGTAGAAGTAGTAGTGGGAGGAAGAAGAAGTATCAGAGAGTATCAGAAAAGTAGGTGTTAAAAGAGTGGGAGGACATGGAAGAAGAAGCGAATAAGAAAGATGTGTTCTACCGTGTTTTTCTGTATGATGTGGTGTTGTCGTCGGTTGCTGGACACTGTTGTAGGAATCGTTCTGATCAGGATGTAAAGGTAAAAAAGAGTGGGCACAATGTTATAATACACAGGTGTTGAGAGAGGATGGATGATGAGTTGGTGGTGGTGGTGGTGGTGGTGGTGGTGGTGGTGAGGAGGAGGAAAAAAGAGCCGAGAAGACCGCCGATGATGATCAAAGGAAGGGGAGGGGGAAAGGAATAAAAGCAGCCAATGGGTCGAAGTTCTCGGCTAGTGCTTTCGCATCTTCTTATTACTACTGCCGCCACCGCCGCTGCTGTGGCCGTGCTTGCTCCGGTGGTGGTTGTGGTGGTCATCCGCCCGGCGCTTCCGCTCGTCCTTCTCCGAGCGCGGCCCCAGCACCTTGCGCTTGTTGCGCGTGTAGTCGTCGACAAAGTCGTTGTGGTTGCGGTCCGCCTTCGCCGCCTCCTCCTCCAGCTCCGACCAGTCCTTGCCGGACTCCTCGCTCGAGGCGAGCGAGTTCTCTGTGTAGGACAAAAATGAGGTTAAAATCCAAAACTTAAAAAACAAATCATTTTTCTCCTACCTTCGCTCTCGTCCCCCTCCGAGGCGTCCGAGTCCTCGGAGAAGTCCGACTCGCTCTCGTCATCCACCTCCTCGCCCTCCGACGCCGAGGGATTGTAGTCGTCCTCCTCCTCCTCCTCGTCCTCCTCCTCGCCCTCGTCGCCGCTGTTCGGGTCGAGGAACTTCCAGCCGCCGTTGTCGAAGAACTCCTCCGGGTCGTCGGTGATCGTCTTCATCACCTTCGCCCAGTTCAGGCTCTGAATGCCCTCGGTGTAGCGGATATCACAGGAGCTGAGGAGAAAAGGGAGAAAGATGAATTAAATAAAGAAATAAAACTCCCCTCTAAAAAATTAAGCCGCATACTTAAGCCACTCCTTGACGTGGTCGAGCATGTTCATGGGAATCGAGGTGACCATGGACGTCTTCCGGTGGTAGTCCTTGAAGATGAAGACCATGTCAAAGTTCTTCAGCTGAAACTGGACGCGCTCAAAGTGGACCAGCTCGACGTCCTCCAGCGAGATGACAAAGGGCGGCTGCAGGGAGAGGACAATTTGGTCAATTTCATCCACAAAAACACCCTCTCCTCAAAACTCCTTACCCAGTCAGTGAGATTCACCAGGCAGCCACTGGTGGGCTGCAGGAGGACATTGGAGCGATTCGGCACGCCGAAGAAGGCCAGGTCGCGAAAGGGCGTGTCAAACTCCACCGCCTGGTTGGTCATCTGCTCCACCTTGTCGCAGAAGAGCTTGAAGGCGGCCTTCAGCTTCTGCCGCATCTCCCGCTCCGCCTGCTCCGAGGCGAGGTCGTCCCGGTCGTGCATGTTCTGGTGCTTGCCCAGGTCGGTGGTGATCTCGCCGACCTCAGTGTAGAACTGCACGTCCGTCTGCTTCTTCTTCCCAAACATGATCGGGTTCTGGTAGAAAAAGAAAAAGTCATTTTAAAAATCCTTAACCATAAAACCCTCTCCCCTCACGTACCTTGAGGTTAAAGTGCAGCAGAATGAGCATCTCCTTGTCGCAGGGCTGGAAGAAGGCGTGCTTGATGTTGTTGTACATGATGTCGATCTTGTCGCTGCGAATGGAGGTGAAGCGGAAGCCGTTCTGGTGCGCCTCCAGCGTCCCGTGAATGCGCTTGGTGATGATGTTCGGCCGAATGTACAGGTCCTTCAGCTTGGGATTGGTCTTGCTGTTGGCCAGCACCAGGTTGTCCTGCTTGACGATGCCCTCCTTCTCGCGCTCCTCCGCCTCCCTGGTCTTGTACCGCTTCTGCACCTCCTTTATGAGGCGGAAGGCGGTGTTGAGGTTGGTGGAGGGGGCGCTGATCTCGCCCGCCTCCTTCAGGTTGGTGCTGCGGTAGGTGAGCTCCTTGAGGAAGGTGCTGTCGGCGTTGCTGCTGAAGAGCGCCGCCTCCGCCTTGCTGATCGTCGTGCCCGGGGTGAAGAAGTTGATGCGCAGGTAGGTGTAGTCGCCCTCAATCGACTGCGAGATGTTCTTGATGGTGCTGATGTGGAAGGGCACGGGGAGGCCGAAGATGGGCAGGATGATGGTCTCGTACTTCTTGTCGACGAAGATCTTCAGCTCGCCGATCTCCACGGCGGAGGGCATCTGCGAGGGCGCCTTGTAGCTGACGTTCGACTTGCGCGAGCGCGCCTCCACGTTGCCGCTGGCCTTCTCCGCAAGGCGGGCGCGGGCCGTCTCGTTCAGCGACTCCGCCAGCTCCTTCTGGTGGCTCTTGCGCTTGTCCTCGGTGGTCGGCTCCGACTGGTCAAGAAAAAAAATATAAAGTGATTTTCAAGTAGAAAAACTTCCTCCAAAACAAAATCCTTACCCGCAGCTTCTTCTCCACCACCGCCGTCCGCCGCCCCCGCCCATAGGCGTCCTTCATCACCTCCTCGACGGCGCTGACGCCGTTGGTCTTCTTCTTCTTCTTCGATCCACCGCCACTGGAAGGGCCTGCTTCATCTGCGTCACCATCATCATCCTCCTCCTCTTCCTCTTCCTCCTCCTCCTCCTCTGGGTCCTGAATCATCATGCTGACGTTCTTCACCTTCTTCTTGTACGTCGAGAGGCAGGTGGCGGGAGCGTCCGGCCCATTAACTTGGACCGTGTCGCCAATGAAGAGCGCATACGTCCGCCCCTCCTTATCAGCCGCCTCCTTGTTCTCCAGGCCGGTGAAGCCCAGTGCCACGTTGAAGATCATGTTCTTGCGGGCGACCTGCTTGCTCTTCGGAGCGAGCACAAAGAGGCTTTCGCGGAACTCGATGCCCATGCCGAAGCCGACGGTGGGCGTGAACTTCTCCAGCAGCCGCTTGTCGTATTGCTCAATCTTCTCCACGGCCGCCTTNTGCGGGCGACCTGCTTGCTCTTCGGAGCGAGCACAAAGAGGCTTTCGCGGAACTCAATGCCCATGCCGAAGCCGACGGTGGGCGTGAACTTCTCCAGCAGCCGCTTGTCGTACTGCTCCACCTTCTCCACCGCCGCCCGGTAGACGTCGGCGAGGCGGACGTCGGCCCGCAGCCGGTCCAGCACCGCCTCCTGCACCTCGAGGAGGAACTCGTAGAGGCGCTTCTGCTCCTCCGTCGGGTTGAAGAGCAGCGTGCGAATGAGGTTCGAGCAGTAGCTCTTGTAGCGGAAGCCCAGAGAGCAGGTGACCACGCCGAAGTGCAGCGTATTCTCGTCGCTGGTGATGCTGAACTTGAGGCTGTAGTTGCCGCCCGACTGGATGATCGGCTCGTAGCAGGCGTCCAGCCAGTTGCTGTCCGCCGGCTTGATGTACTTCGCGTTGTTGATCGCATTCTCCACCAGCTTCGCCAGCTTCGAGTGCTTGATCTTCCGCTCGGAGACGCAGATGCGCTCGATCTCGCGGCAGAAGAAGTTCCCGTAGAGGTCGTCGGTGAGCTGCGCCGACTTGCTGATCAGCGCCACCTCGGACTCGTCCTTCGTGGCGGTGAGGTAGACCAGGGCGACGCTGATGTCCACCGTCTCCAGCTTCTTCCCGTCCAGGCGGGCCTTCCAGTCGTCGGTGAACTCGCCCTCCGCCTGGTCCTTCGCGAAGACGCCCACGGTGGCGCCGGTGCTGAGGGCGCCCAGCAGGCGCTCAAAGTTGGCCGCGTCCTTGTCGGCCCGTTCGCGGACGAGCAGCGTCACCGGCGGCACGCCCTCCTCATTCTCCTTGCTCGACTCGATGCTCTTCAGGAACTCGATCTTCTTCTTCGAGGTGAGAATGAGGATCGACTTCTTGGTGAGGACGAGGATAAAGTCGTGCAGCTCGTAGCCAAAAAGCCATGTCTGCGGCAAAGTAGAGTAGAAATCGGTTAGAAAAACGGTAACCAAAAAAGAATTGCGCTTGCACAAACCTGCATAGTGCCCGTCTTGGTGAAAATCTGCTGGTCCTCCTGGTCCTTGCCAACGTAGGCAACGATTGCGCTGCATCGGCGCAGGCTGGCCACCTCTTCTGCGGTGCCCTGTGGAAAGAAAAGGAAACCGATATGAAGCATGACAATGACATGTCAGACAAATAGAAGCCAAAAAAGTTTTCTCACCTTATTCCAGGCCGCATACAGCTGCCGGATTCGCCTGAAGAAGGTGTCCTTGTTGATTGCGGGCGTCGTCATCTTCAGCCTGAAGACACTGGAATCACCTAGGATTGGTTGGTTGATCGCTTGGTTCGCTTGGAAGGGTCTCTTTCTTTTGGAAAAAACTGCCAAATCTCAGACAGATCTCAGACAGTCTCTGAAGTGAGGACAAAACGTTTTAGTGTTGTTAGCACAACAAACACACACCAGAGAGATAAAACGCGCAAAGCGTGAGAGAGGGAAAGCGGCCGCAGAGAAAAGATTTTGGCGAGCGCACAACAGCGCCCGTCCGCAGAGGACGTTACCAGGTATGGCGCCTTTTTCAGCCAGCAGCTGTTTCCCCTTCAGGACAGTTGCTCTTCAGCGGAAAAAATGCTCTACCAGGATTCTTGAATTCACCTGAAGCTAAAAGAATTCACCGTTTTTCCGATAACCACTGTTTATCATCTTTACAAGCTGCAAGGCGAAAGATGCTCCGTTTTATTAAGAAGAAGATTGAAGACATTTGGGGGTATTATTGAAGCCGCTGTGGCACAGTGGCAGTGCGTCGGTCCAGTAAACGAAAGGTTCAGCGTTCGATCCTTGAACCTAATTTTAATTTTTTTTTCTCTTAAAACCTCTTTTAACTCAACTGTTTCCAAATTCTAAAGGATTTGTTGCTTAAAACCATAAAGAAAACTTTTTTTATTGTTCAAAAACGAGGAAACGACCATCAAATGTCGAGCGGTATAAAGGCGACCGGCTCTAAGCCGCTGCCGTCAAAGTGCAGTCCACCGCCGGCGCCGTCGTCGTCGAGGAGGGTGGAAAAGTCGGCGGCGGTAAAGGCAGCTGCTGCTGCTGCTGTGCTGCTGTTTGCCTCCATCAGCCCATAGGCGTCAATCTGACCACTGCTCAGGCCGCCGTTGTTCGTGTCGATAATGTCCAGGACGCGAACGGCAGCAGCAGCAGGGCCACCACCACCACCACCACCACCTCGAGAAAAGTGTCCACCCGAGTCAGCAGCAGCAGGAGCAGCACTCCAAACCAGTCCATGACTGTCCAGCCAGCGAGCCAGTTGATGATCACTCGGCAGATGATGCTCTCCCGTGGTGCTGCTCCAAAGATGCTGCTGCTGATTTGGCTGATGGGAATGATGACCACTTCCACCACTGTTTATGGACTGGCCTCGAGGCAGCGAGTGGTACTGCGCCGTTTTTTGCTGTGGGTACAGCTGCTGCAGCTGCGACAGGTCACCACCACCGGCAATGGACTTGCCGCTGCCGTCAGGCAGGTCGATGACGGTGCCCGTGAAGTGGAGGTCGCTGTGGCTGCCCATCATCTTCAGGTCCCTAGCAAAGAAGAAGAAGAATTTAATTAGCATAACAACTCCAACTAATCACTAAAGTCCTACTTGGCCGAGTAGTGCTGCTGCTGCTGCTGTAGTTGTTGGTGCTGCTGCTGTTGGTAATTCAGCTGCTGCTGATAATGATGATGGCCACTGGGGTCGTTCTGCTGCTGCTGCTGCTGCATCGAGTGGCGCCGATTAGAAATGGGCTGAAAA